TTCTGGACCCTTTGGACCAGTGAGGTGGTGTTTCCAGTCCAGGTGAGGGTGTCTGTGATGAACATCTTCAGAACCTCCTACTCAGGAATGAACCATAAAGGACGGTTTCTATAGCAACAACTGGAACAGGAAGAATATGTTTTAGTGTTCGTATTTAGTGATCCCCAGTGCTATTGGTAAGAAGGAAATAAAGTCATTTAGTTTATTTATTTAGCACTAACAGACGTCATCTCAGGTCATTTCACAGAGACAGAGATGACAGCGTCTTTTCAGCAATCAGTCACACCAGGCAGGTTTGTTGGAATAAAACAGTGAAAAATGCTGTTTTCACAGTTTTTCACCTTCAATCACTGTTTTTGATTTTTACATTTAGGATTTATATCTCTGTAAATGAACATTTAGATACAGTCTTTACTTATGGAAGAGGATTAGGGCCTCTGGGGTAAAAAAAAGTTAACAGATTTTTAGATATTATTTCAGTTTAAAATGGGAAAAAATTCAGAACTCTGACTTCAACCTTCAAGAATCATAAAGATCTCAAAATAACTCCACATCTCTTCCTCCATGGTGGCCTTAAACCCCGCCTCCTGCTCTCCTCTATCTTGTCTGCTGTCATGATTCATGCAGCTATTATTTCATCCAGATTTGCAGAATTATCTTCTTCCTTCAATAAACATTTCTGGATTCAATTTTGTAGATTTTTAGTTTCCAATAAAGTTAAAGAAATGTATATTCAAATATTAGATTTAATCCCTCTTATGAATTTATTGTTAGATTTATTCTGATGTTTCCCCTTCTTGTTGCTTCGGTTGAATTTTTTCCTCATATTTGCTACTTTAGAAATCAAATGTTTTTTTTTTTTTTATTAATTTGGGAATCTCATTTAGTTTTGATCATATTTACTTAAAACATCATTTTATAAATGAACTTAAGGAAAATATAATAACTGAATGGTTTTTGTGTTTGTTTTAAATCCATGAAGCTAAATTCCTGCTGGTTATGCCAAATAAAAATTATTTCTATGTGGAACTTAATATTTTTAAGATATATTTAAATTAAAAACAAAAACTTCCGTTTGTTTACAAACGCGTAGGGGGCGCGGTAATGTGACGTCACCACGTAGCGGAGTAGCAACATGGCGGCGGATTACTGGGAGACGGAGCGACCCGAACCTCCTTCAGACTGAACCGAACCACGGAGACCCCGGGTCGGACCGGGCCCGCCTCTGACCGTAGGTACCGGCTACTGTTGGAGCAGCTGACCGGCTCCGGGACTCTCCCGCCCGGTAACTGAACCTAACTCTGCCGGAGCGCAGGAAGTAGACCGAGCCCGCTGCAGGTGTTCAGGAGGTAGACGGAGCCATGCTAGCAGGCTAGCTGCAGCTGGGTTCGGTTCTGATCGATTCTGGATCAACGTTTAACCTGCGGGGACACCAATCAGTTAATTATGATTAATGAATTCATTCAGATTGAATCCTTAATTATAACTTTATTGAACATATAATAATAATAATAATAATTTTCTAAGTTATTGAAACAATTTCTTCTCAATGAAATTAATCCTCTGAATTTAAGGCGAAGGGGTGCAACCTGGGGCCCTCAGTGGTTCCCCTACGGGGCCCCTCACAGGGGTTCCCCTACAGGCCCCTCTCAGGGGCCCTTCTGTAATTGAGGGTCTTGCTCTCCAAAATAAATCCACGCATTCATATTCAGTCCTCCCCCTCCTGGACCCCGGTATTGGTACCGGTACCGGTCAGGTCGTCCGGCTTGCTTTCAGTGTGAAACAGAATCCTGATGGAAACCTATCAGGGAGACTTCTGATTGGATGACATCCGGCCTCACAGCCTGGTTAACCTGACAGAACAGGTTGTCATGGTAACTGATGGTTTAAACTGATACTGGACTGGGATGGTGGGAAAATTTGGGCTAATCCAGCAGTTTATTTCTGGTGGTGATTTCAGTTCACTTCCTGCTGAATCGTGTACGAATCTTTGGTTTGTTGGATCAGAACTTCCCCTGGCCGCTCCAATTAGATAGATGTACTTTATTTATCCCAAGCTGGGAAATTGCAGTTGCCACCAGAACCAGAACATGCTTTACCGTAAATCCTCTAATATAGGACGGGGCCTTTATTTCACTCAGGTACATCTTGGTCCAGGCCATTATTGGAAGGAGGTCAGAATTAGAGGCAGGCTTTTATTTCTATTTGATCAAAACAGACCAACAGTGGCATGAATAAAAGCAACATTTTGTGTCTCTTTGAACCGATAAAATGCCAGGTTAATTTTTTGAAAAAGTACAGTTACCGTAACGATATATAGAACATTATCAACAAATACTGGTAATTCAGACATCTTCCAGCAGCTGCAATTTTTCTGCACGGTAATCCGCAAATAAAAGTATAGTATGTTATTATCAGAAGTTGTTGAGGACTGCCCAGAAACAGTTTTTCCATGAAGAGTTGAACTCTGTTGGAGTCCAGATCCAGTTCCTCTGGTCTGCCTGTTGATTTTAAGACCTGATTCAGATTCTTTGGATCTCAAACCTGATTTCTGGTCTCTTACCTGAATTACATGACCGGAGTTATGCACCTTAAAGGTTTTGTGGAAGATTTTCACAAATTTTTTAGTTTTAACAACATTTTATTTACACAATTCAAACAATACGATCAATTATTGATGTAAAACAAGCGTCAGTTTAAAATCATTAAATAAGGAGCTTTTCATGTTGTAATTCTCCATCATCTGACACAGAACATAAACTGTGGGGAATCGACTGAATAATGACGGTTTGGAAGTCAAGCTGCTGTCTTTACCTTTCCAGGTGTCGCCTCCAGGCTCACGGCTCCGCCCCCGTTGGTTTCACGCCCCCCCCTGCCGCCCAGACCCCCCCTAATGGAGAGGATCAGGAAGCTCAAACGGCAGCTGTCTGTCACTTTAAGGAGGGGCGGGGCAGGGGGCGGGGACAGAGCGCTGAATGAAACCAGTCCTCAGGAAGTGACATCACACAGCGATTCAGGTGAGTCTTGTAGCGCCATCAGTTCAGCTTCAAGCATTTGAAACATGAGTAGCACCATTTAAAAACCGTTTTTTCAGCAGGATCACTCCTGTTACCATAGCACCAAAAAAAACTTTGGTTGTTTCTCAATTCACTAGAAGTACGAACTCGTTTTCCCGCCAAGTCCGTTCTTGACTAGAACCCAGTAGAGTCTGGACTCTGGGAGAACGGGAGCAGGATTAATCCGGATCAATTAGAACAGAAGCGTACTGATGACATCACCACATTCAAAGCTAGTCTGGAGCTGCATTTCACCTCCTGTTATTAATAGTCTCTAGATAATAATAAATTAGGACTTGTTTCATTTAGTGGAGGAATAATAATGAACACAGTCAGATAAACACATATCAAATGAACATTTTACCAAATAAAAAAAATCAAACCTCCATCAGAGGCAGCGGTCCTTCACACACAGCTATGCAGAGACAGGGCTGCTGCAGGCGGGCTAACGTTAGCCTTGGCTGCTTCTGATGGGCTAATGATAGTCCTGGCTGCTGCAGGCGGGCTAACATATTTATGGATGATAAATAACGATCCATTGATTATTCCTCGCTGAGCGGACTTCTCCTTTAAAGACAAATGCACCAAAGGAGGTTTGCTCACATTTAGCACTTGCACCGTGTTTTTTTTCTGACACACTGTTTACATCTGATCACAGTTGCACTTTAAGGAATGGAAATTTCATGAACCAAATTTCATTTCATATAGAGTCCGTATACAAAATGACAATAAAATGGACTAAGTCTGTGCTGCATGGTAAACACCATCCACTTTGCTGCTTTGTAGATCTGCTCTATAGACTCGTTTGAACCTGTTTAAAGACAGAAACCTTCTGAAGATGTGGGACTGTGTCTCTTTATGGCGTATTCCTCCTTCAACAGGAATCCAGTTATATCTGAGCAAAACTTTTTTATTTCTTAATGTTGGTCGATATAAATGGCCTCAGAAAAGAACTCAAGAAAGTCCACGACTGAATCCTATAGAAAATATTAACAATTAATCTGCCATGTGTAGAAAACTCCTTCAGTATGACAAAAAAAAAAAAACACAAAACGCATAAAACTAAATAAAACCACCAACTTCAGCTGGAGGCTTTTAACATCACAGCATGGACTTCCTGACAGTTAAGAATTATAATAGTCCAGTTTCTGTTCACAGTTCAAAGTTCTTCATGTCCAAAACGTCTGACCTAAGTTTCCAGATCATTTGATTTTCCTCTGGTGATGAACGAGTTACTGTGGAGTTCAGTCTGACTGCTTTCTCTCTTCATCATCTTCATCCTCCCAGAGATGCCGTCTCTTCGCTCCTCAGCAGCTCTGAAGGTCCGAGCCTCATCTTCCTCAGTGCACTCGTTGCTGCAGACGTACGGCGGCCCGATGAGGAAACCTCGTGGTCTGGGACGCAGCCTGAGTTCCTACCTGAACCGCACCGCCAGACTGGGTAGTAATAACACAGACACATGCAGGGGGGCCTGGGGCGATGCTTCTGCATGCAGATCAGTTTGGCTTCATAGAAAACATCTGAGCAGAATTCTCCCAGTTCTGATGCTGAACCGGTGTTCTGTCAGCTCAGCATACCGCGTCAGGCCAGCATACTCTTAGTAATATGCATGATCGTTATTAG